GGAGGCCAACGAAGGTGAATCACTTGAGGTCAAGAGTTCAAGACCAGCCTAGGCAACATGGTGAAACCCTGTCTCTACAAAAATTAAAAAAAAAAAAAAAAAATTAGCTGAGCTGGGCATGGTGGCTCATGCCTGTAATCCCAGCGCTCTGGGAGGCTGAGGTGGCTGGATCACTTAAGGCCAGGAGTTCAAGACCAGCCTGGCCAACATGGTGAAATGCCATCTCTACTAAAAATAAAAAAGTAGCTGGATGTGGTAGCAGGCGCCTGTAATCCCAGCTCCTTGGGAGGCTGAGGCAGGAAAATCGCTTGAGCCTGGGAGGCGGAGGCTGCAGTGAGCTGAAATCGTACCATTATACTCCAGACTGGGCAACAGAGCAAGATTCTGTCTCCGAACTAAATAAATAAATAAAAGATAAATTTTAAAACGCAACATGGAGCTTAATCTGCTAAATCCTGGGAACCACTTCATTATACATCAGCGTGTTTTGTTTTGCAGTGTGGCATATGTACCTTGGCCTACAGGATTTCTTCCATCCAGAACATGTAGAAAATCCCATACTTTGTATTCAATACACCTAATCTAAGCGTTTCATTAAAATCACCCAAAGGGAGGTACTTTTGAATGTAGAAAATGTTAAGTAAATACTAAGAAGGGTACAATGTTTTTAGCGTTAATAAAAATCTCAATCAGTAATTTCAAAGAAATACACATATTTCTTCATTTGCTGTCAAGGACAGGGAGTAAATAGTAGACTAGCGCCAAGTAGAAAACTGCCCTATCTCTGTAATTGGGAATAACAGTGGAAAAAATGGCAAAATAATAAAGACTGTATTGACTTACCATTCTGAAGCAAACACCTGTATAAAAGAAAGATAAAAAGAATTGTCAGCTTGTCCGCCTTTAAAAAGTTGTGTATTTCCTGACTTAACTTTTATCTAGGTGGTCCCCATTTATCCTTGGTTTCACCTTCTGCAGTTTCACTTAACCCTCAATCAACTGCGGTCCTATAATATTACATTTAAAACTCCAGAAATAAACAAGTCATAAGTTTTGAATTGAATGCCTTTCTAAGTAGCATAGTGAAATCTCACGCTGTCCCACCTATGAATTATCCCTTTGTCCAGCAGATCCACACTGTAGACACTCCCTGCCCGTTGGTCATTAGGTAGCCCTCTTGGTTATCAGATCGACTGACTTGGTGGAACTGCAGTGCTCATGTTCAAGTAACCCTTATTTTACTTAACGATGACCCCCAAAACACAAGAGTAGTGATGCTGGCAAATGTGCCAAAGAGAAACCATCACGTGCTTCCTTTAGGTGAAAAGGTGAAAGTTCTCGACTTGATAAGGAAAGAAAAACATTGTATGCTGACGCTGCTAAGATCTAAAGTAAAGCAATCTTCTGTCTGTGAAACTGAGAAGAAGGAAAAAGAAATTTGTGCTAGTTTTGCTGTTACACCTCAAACTGTAAAAGTTATGGCCACAGTGTATGATAAATGCTTAGAATATCTAGGGTTCTACACTATCCGCAGTTTCAGGCATCTACTGGGGTTCTTGGACTGCATCCCGATCCGAGAACAAGGGCAAATCCCTGTATTTATTATGTGGTAAGTAAATGAAATAAGTAAAATGTTTAATATCTGAATGTATTTAGAAAGTGTTTTTGAAAATTAGTTTCTTTTAAAATGAAATGAGAAAAGGAAGACTTTTTGGAGAAAAATAGTAATATTCTGAGTCCAAATAAATAAAATGCTGCAGCACATATTCACTCTATTTTTAAATGCTAAATAAAACAAAATACTTATTACAGGTACAGTTGAGTGTACTTGGCATAAAATTTAGCTGTCCTCAACTTTTAAGATGTCTTCTTAAAATGCAAGGACTAAATACAAATTTAAATGTAATAAAACATTTGTGTATTTTATAGCTAGTTACAGAACCAATGAAACATATCAAGGAATGATATGCTTGACCATAACTTGGCTTCTGAAGCCTCAGTTCTTTTATTTATTTATTTACTTATTTATTTACTTACTTATTTATTTCAGAGACAGGGTCTTGCTCTGCGCTAAGGCTGGAACACAGTGGTGCAATCATAGCTCACTGCCCCCTCGAATTCCCGGGCTCAAGGGATCCTCCTGCCTTGCCTCCTGAGTAGCTGGGACTCCAGGCATGAGCCACCATCCCTGGCTCTGAAGCCTCAGTACTAATGGAAACTTACTGAAATGAAAAT